ATTGTGATATCTAATTCATATCTCAGGTGAAGCTGAAAACTAAATGTGTATAATTTTATTTATCATTTTAAAAGTATCTCCTTGGGGAGCCTGGCTGGCTCAGTGGGTGGAGTTCATCTCAGAGTTGTGAGTTTGAGTCCCACTTTGGGTGTAGTGATTACTTAAAAATAAATCTTTTATATATGTAAGGATATATATACTCTCAAAGTTGGTTTACTGATGAGATTCAGTTTGGGAAAAGTAATATACACCTAGATATTACTTTTGAGAAACATTAAATTTTCTTGATTTTAATATTCTTAATCAAAATAATATATTGACTGGATAAAAAATACTCAAATAATAACGAACACATAATTAAAAAAAATACCTGTTTTCTGTCCCACCCTTCTCTGCCTTCAATCTCAGCCCCCAGGGGCAATAGTTTTAAATGCTTCTGTTTAAGTTTTCTGTTATTTGGCTCCATTAATACCAAATAATATGCAGATACCTCTAATTTCTTTTTTTTTTTTAATTTTTTTTTTCAACGTTTATTTATTTTTGGGACAGAGACAGAGCATGAACGGGGGAGGGGCAGAGAGAGAGGGAGACACAGAATCAGAAACAGGCTCCAGGCTCTGAGCCATCAGCCCAGAGCCCGACGCGGGGCTCGAACTCCCGGACCGCGAGATCGTGGCCTGGTTGAAGTCGGAAGCTCAACCGACTGCGCCACCCAGGCGCCCCACCTCTAATTTCTTAAAAAAATTTTTTTAACGTTTATTTATTTTTGAGACAGAGAAAGAGCACAAGCAGAGGAGTGGCAGAGAGAGAGAGGGAGACACAGAATCCAAAGCAGGTTCCAGGCTCTGAGCTGTCAGCACAGAGCCGGAAATGGGGCTTGAACTTACAGACTGCGAGATGATGACCCGAGCCAAAGTTGGATGCTCAACCGAAGGATGTTCACCCAGGCGCCCCTCTAATTTCTTTGAGTTTATTTATTTATTTTGAGATAGCATGAGCGGGGAGGGGCAGAGAGAGGTTGAGAGAGATAATCCTAGTGCAGAGCCCAATATGGGGCTTGAACTCACAAACTATAAGATCATGACCTGAACTGAAATCAAGAGTCAGATGCTTAACCCAGTGAGCCACCTAAGTGCCCCTAATTTCTTTATTTAACAACTTAAGACATCATTTGTCTTCCCGTTATGACAGATGAGAATTAGCTCACACCAACCCTATCTCCTTCTCTCTCTGGCCCAATTTTATTATTTAATTCTTCTAAATATTCCTTATAATGGTGTGTTGAGGACATATACATTAATTTTTTTCTTGGGTAAATACTTAGAAGTGGAATTGCTAGGTCTTATGGTATTATTGATTATTATTATTTATTCATAATAAGTAAACAGAATATTATTGAATCTTGAAAAGAAAGGAAATTCTTCCGAAGAAGACATACAGCTGGCCAACAGGCATACGAGAAGGTGCTCAACATCACTAATCATCAGGTAAACACAAAACCACAATGAGTATTACCTCACATCCATTGAGATAACTTATCAAAAAGGTAAGAATTAAATGTTGGCAAAGGTGTGAAGAAAAGGAAACCCTTGCACACTGTTGGTGGGAATGTACATTGGTATAGGTATTATTAAAAATAGTATAGAGGTTAGGGGCACCTGGGTGGCTCAGTGAGTTAAGTGTCTGACTTTGGCTCAGGTCATGATCTCGCAGTTTGTGGGTTCTGGCCCCACATCAGGCTCTGTGCTGATAGCACAGAGCCCGGAGCCTGCTTTGAAATCTGTGTCTCCCTCTCTCTCTGCCCCTTGCCCACTCACACTGTTTCTCTCTCTCTCTCTGTCTCTCAAAAATATACATTAAAAAATTTTTAAAAAATAGTATAGAGGTTCTTCAAAACTACAAATAGAATTATCATATAATCCAGCAACTCCTTTTTTGGGTAGATACTCAGTGGAAATGAAATCAGTGCCTTGAAGAGATATCTGTGCTCTCATGTTTCCTACAGCATGAGTCACAATAGTCAAGCTATAGAAACAACTGAAGTTTGTCAACAGATGAAGGGATAAATAAATATATATATATAATATATATATTCTGTATATACACACATATGTAATTTTGTATATAATGGATATCATTCAGTCTTAGAAAAGAAGGAGATTTTGTCATTGGCAGCAATATGCATGAACCTGGGGAATATTGTTCTTAGTGAAATAAGCAGACACAGAAAGAAAACAAATGCCTGGTTTCATAAATATGTAGAATCTAAAGTAGTCAAATATATAGATGCAGAGAGTAGAATGGTGATTACCAGTGGTAGGAGTGTTTGGGAAATGGAGAGGTTGGTCAAAGGATACAGAGTTGCAGTTATGTAAGATGAATAAGTCTAGAGATCTAATGTATAGCCTGATGTCTGTAGTTAATAATACTGTATTGAGCAGCACCTGGGTGGCTCAGTCAAAGGTCCAACTCTTGATTTTGGCTCAGGTCATGATCTCCAGATTTGTGGGTTCGATCCCTGCATCAGGCTCTGCTCTGACAGCTCAGAGCCTGTTTGCAATTTTCTCTCTCTGCCCCTTGCTGCTCATACTGTCTCTCTCTCTCTCTCTCTCAAAATAAATAAATAAACTTAAAAAAATAATAATACTGTATTAAATACTGGAAATTTGCTGAGAGTAGATTTCAGGTACCTTCACCACACACACACACACACACACACACAAAATGGTAACTATGAGGAGAAGATATGTTAATTAGCTTGCCTATAGTAATTATTTTCCTATATACATATATATGTATATTAAATCATCATGTTGTACACCTTAAGTGTATACAAATTTTTTAACATTCATTTTTAAGAGACAGAGAAAGAGTGCGAGCTGGGGAGGGGCAGAGAGAGAGAGAGAAAGAGAGAGAGACAGAATCCAAAGTAGGCTCCAGGCTCTGAGCTGTCAGCACAGAGCCTGACATGGGGCTCGAACCCATGAACCGTGAGATCATGACCTGAAGTCAGATGCTTAACTGACTGAGCCACTCAGGCACCCCAAGTGTATATATTTTTCCTTAAAAAATTAAAAATTAAAAGAAAAGATTATTTCTATTAAAAAAGATGGAAGAAAATTCTGACACATGCTATGTGGATGAACCTTTAGGACATGCTAAGTAAAATAAGCCAGTTACAAAAAGACAAATACTATGTGATTTTGCTTATATGAGATATTCAGAGTAGTCAAGTTTATAGAAACAAAAAATAGAATGGTGGTTGCCAAGGAACGGGGGAGGGGGATGTGGGGAGTTGTTTCATGAATGCAGAGTTTCAGTTTTGCAAATGAAGGTGTCCAGGAGATAGGTTGTAGAACAATGAGAATATACTTAACACTTGAACTGTACAGTTAAAAATGATTAAGCTGGGGGTGCCTGGTGGCTCAGCTCTTAAGCATCCCACTCTTAACATATGCTCAGCTCATGATCTCATGGTAGTGAGACTGAGCCCCGTGTGGGGGTCTATGCTGGGCATGGAGGCTGCTTGAGATTCTCTCTCTGTGCCTCACTCCTGCTGGCACATATGCTCTCGCTCTCTCTCTCTCCTAAAAAGATTAAGATGGTAAATTTTGTACTATTCATATTTTACCATAATTTAAAAAAAAGTATAATGATAATGTATTTGTTACCAAAAAGTCAAGAATATTAAGTATATAAAGTGTAAAGTTAAATTCTTCACTGTTCCTGCACCTGAGAGGTAACCAGATCAAACAGTTTGAAAATTTTTTCTCTCGGGCTAAATTAATGAAGCATAAAAGGGTTTTCAGCGGTAAAGAAGGCAAATCTGTCCTTTAAAGAACCACTGTTTGTAATGGCTAAACTACCACATGAACTTGGACACAATCAATATTTGATATGTAGTGCCATTTTTTTTTTCTAGGTAACACTACATAGCTTTAAAAAAGATGAATATTTCTTGGTATCTAGTATTGCTAGGCATTGTGCTAGTTTCTCTATAAACAATATTTAACTTAATTTCTCCACAATGTTATGAGTTGATCCTTTCAAATCTTCTTTTTAAAAAAAGTTTATTTATTTATTTTGAGAGAGAGAGAAAGAGAACCAGCGCGGGGGGTGGGGGGTGGGGGGTGGGGAGGGGGCTGGCAAAGAGAGAGGGTGATAAAGGATTGAAGCCGGCTCCATGCTGACAGCAGAGAGCCCAATGTAGGCTTGAACACACAAACCACGAGATCATGACCCGAGTCAAAGTCAGATGCCCAACTGACTGAGCCACCCAGGTGCCCCTAAAATGCTTCTGTAATAACTAGCTCTTGTCTTCATCATGGCACCTAACACAATCTGCCTCCCATCCATGTTCTTGAGGAATGGATTGTGTTGTGTTTACTGTTTACCTCCATGCCTACCTCAGGAATTGGAACACAACATATACTTAGGCAATATTTGTTGAAAGAATATTACTATTTTCATTTTAAAACTTGTGACACTGAGTTTCAAAAAGGTTAGGCAAGATAAGAGAGCTGGTAAATGACAGAGCTATGATTTAAATTAAATACACGGTTTTCCTTTTTTAAAGTCTGTCTTGTCTTTCTGATTTTCTGCTAAATAGAAGGTTCCTACATTGAGAAGCTAGGGAAGAACCGTGGGCCATTGCCATACTAAATAAAGTAGTAAATATAGAATTAGGTACTCAGGTCAGTGGATTCAGAAGCAAAATTAAGTCTGACATGTATGATGATAACAGTTGGCATTTGCAATAACTTTACGTGGCATTATATACTCATTAATTAGTCTACATAATACTTCATTATGTGAGTCTTCATTACTGAATTTTAAGTACCTCAGAAACAACACTGAATTAGCAATTAAGCTAAGCCACATGAATAAACAGGCACGGTACAGCATTCTATGAAGTCAAAATGAACATTCGTGTTCTTAGAAGAACTCAGAAATCAGACTTTTCTCTATGTTATGAAGAAACTATTTTCCTCATTCCCTAGAGCAGCATTTCTCATGAAATAGCTAGACAATTCAATGAAGAATCCAAGCTATTGGATTTTTATATTTAAGTTAATTTTAGTTAAGTAATTATTTTTTAAAAAGTTTATTTCTGATGAGAAGGAAAGTAGTTATTCACAATTTTGTTATCCAACTTTTTTCCACGCAGAATTTCCATTCCCTAGCTTTGAGAAAAAAGGTAGAATAAAATTTTGGAATATACATTCCTTAATTGTACTGAAATTGAATTTCAGGTGGAAAGTAAATACATCCAACCAAGATAGATATTTACCTCAATATAAATAAGTAGAGAAAAGGAAAAAGAGACTTGAAGTAGAAACTGTACTTTAAATACCAAATTTTAACAGAATGTATATGATGCAATAAATCTTTTTACTTCACTTTTCACAGGGGAAGTGAATGGGAGGCAAACCTTGGAATAGATATTTACTTTGTTTCAGAAAAAGATGTACTGCTAAAACCTGCGTCTTCTAGTTAAATGAGATTTTTGCAAAGTGAGTAGACCCTTCTACATGCTTCCCCCCCCCCCCCCATAACAAAGGAGCCCCAGGAGGCAATTAAGCCCAGGGTTAGAGCCTTAAGGTAATGACCAAACAACAATGTCAAGTGAATGGGATTTTCCTCTATGAGTTCTGATTTTCTTAGGGCTTTCTAGAAGTAATATCTTTGGAAATCTGGGGAGGAAACTGTCTTGCTTCTGTCTGGGGGGAAAAGAGAGAGACTAATAACAGAAGTTGTGCAGGGCTCTGCCCCTATAAGGATGCTCTCTTTTTGTTCCCTTCCTTAGATGAGGCAGAATTATTTTTAAATGGTGGAAACTAAAATAGATGAGGTTAGTGGTTCAAAAGCCCTAACTGTGAATAGTTGCTACCCTCTAAAAGATATAAATATTCTAGCTATTGGCTAAGTAGGAGGCATCCACGACCAATCAGTACCTTTTCTGGAGTGTGGCTTGTACAGTGTCATTTCAGGTCTTGAAGCAAGAGAACATTTGCCCTGTGGAGGAAATAGATTCAATGGCAGTCCCTAGAAGTTCACATCGATAGGTGAGGGTGAGCAGTGCTAAAGATCACCCAGATGACGTGGAAATAATACGTCTCTTCTTGGTGTCTCTGACTCCAGCTTGAGATAGATGGAAAGATGTAACTCTGGCTTTAGGGACTCCATTAGTGTCAATTTGGCTATTAATGTTATTCAGGAAGCGGGAAGCCTAGATAAGAGAGAGTTCTATGAACATCGTAAAGGGAAATGTAGTCAAAAACCTTTATAGAAATACTGAGAGGGATGCCTTCCATTGTGAAATACTTAAAAAAAAAAGGTTGAAAATAGAGTCACACATTTCTTCTCTTTAAAAATTGCCTGTCAAGTTAGTGGTGAAGAAGTGTGAATGAAATAAGCTAATTTGTAAGTAACTGATTCAAAACAGAGTTTATAGGGCAATCAGGTGCAACTATGGTCTAGGCATCTGTTTCACTGGTATGTAGTTGCTCTTCTGTTGAAGCCAGATTTGTGTATCACTTCTGTAGGACTTTTTAAAGTAAATTTCAGAATTGCCTAGGCAAAATTTGCATCAAGGATTCATTGTAAGACTTCAGGAGAAGAAACGCAAATAGGCAATATACAATTGAGAAGTTGTTCAACCTTTCTATAAAATAAAACAATCAAATTAATGAAACATTTCTGTTAGTTTAGGAAAAAAAATTAAGATATATTTTTTTTAAAACCTGGTATCAGCAAAGATAAAGCAAAATGAGTAATCTCCGGAGCTGCAGAGCATGTAAATGAGTGCAACTTCTTTGACAAACTAAATCAATATTTAACTTTTGTCCACCCTGTGTTCCAACAAATTTACTTGTTGAAATTTATTCCTAGGAAGTGACTGACAAGTGTACTGAGATAATTTAAATATTGGAAAAGAAATATTGTAATTGCTGGCAAATAAATAATCATGTTGGTCAAATGAATTGTAGTGTGCTCATATAATAGAAAATTCTGATTACTAAAAATGATACTGGATATTTGTATTTATTGACCAAAAAAAGCTCTTCATAAAATACTTTTGAGTGAATTATGTAGATTAAAATGTAGATTTAGATTAAGCCCATTAAAAATTACATTTGTATGCATGGAGAGATGTTAGAATCATGTTCCCCCAAATTTTGAGTAAATCTTCCTCGGTAGTGGGAGTACAGATGTTTAATGTTCTTTGTTATATTCTTCTCTTTGAACTGGACAATGAGCATATGTTTAAAAATCCACAAAACACACCCAATTTTAATTTTGTAAAACAAGTCCTTCTTAAATGTTGGGGCTTTATAAACTTTATTTTCTACATTAAATAAAAGTAAGTTTCACCAGAATTAAGATACTTGCTCATTTGCTCTCAGTACCCTCCCCCACCCTCAGTGTTTCCATGGAGATACTGATGAGGCAAGCTATTTTATTTTTAAAATTTCTATCAGGTTTATTTATTTATTTTTTCTTTTTTTTTTTTTAGTTTTCAATATATGAAATTTATTGTCAAATTGGTTTCCATACAACACCCAGTGCTCATCCCAAAAGGTGCCCTTCTCAATACCCATCACCCACCCCCCTCCCTCCCACCCCCCATCAACCCTCAGTTTGTTCTCAGTTTTTAAGAGTCTTTTATGCTTTTCAGGTTTAAAACTTAATTTCATATCCCAACTGATTCAAAAGGCAAACTAAATTGAAAGATTGCTACTCGTGTGGCATTTGGGCATTTGTTCAGGTAATGATTTAAACACAGGTGGTGTTGCATTATGGGAAACCAGTAGACCATAAGCAGGGTTTTTTTTTTTTTTTTTAATTTAGTTTCTGTGAAATGTAGTTTATTGTTTTGTCTCATTTCCTAAAGTAACATTGATACATTATTCTTTTCATTACTGTAATGTCCCCAGTAAAAGTCCCCATAATTAAGGTAAAGAACTATATTTTATTGTCAAATTTATGTACTCATTCTCTTATCTTGGGAATTTATTTTTGATAAATAAAAGGGTCAACATTTCATGTTGTGGAAGTATTGAATTTAGCTTTGGAGGGTGTTTATGTGCTAAAGAAAATTATAAGTAGAGCTTGTTTCTGATCAACTGCTCCTAACCAAAGTCTAGTTTTAATACCAAGGCTGATAATAATAATATACACAGCTTGCAGCGAAATGGAAGTTGTGGTAGATTTCCCTGTTTTCACTCAGGATCTTTCAGCTGATACATCCTTGCAAACCTCAAAATTAAACACTCATTATCTTGTAAAAAAATAAAAACAGCAGAAAGTAGAATCAGAATTTCCAAAAACTTGTGTTAAACAATTTCTTATTATTTATAAATGAAACCTACAATGCAGCATAACAGTAGTTTTCATTCAGTATGAAGATATTCACTCCAATGTTGTGAACTCCAGAATTCTCCTGAATAAACAAGTAGTTCTGTATTTAACTATGCTGGATAAATAACTACTGTTCGAATTTTTAGGAAAAGAGAAATATTTAGTAAACTCTAGATCTTGTGTCACTTTTTTTTTGAATAGTAACTCCATTGAAGAGAAATTCTACTTCAAAATGAAAAATGAATCAATTTAGGTAAATGGCTACACATGAGGTATGAAAATATTGAGTAATCTACATTTTAATATTCTGTACTATATGGAAAATTTCTCATATTTTATTGATAAAATTATTCTCCAAGTTTTTTCCACTTGGGTTTTTTACTAATTTTTCCTGTGTTGATAATATATCTTATTCTAATTATGCCATAGTACTTCTTTCCAAAGAGGTTTGAATGTTTACTCTGGATCCTTGGTGAAGAGGTTGACTACTGGTTTTGGATGACAATAGGGTGACATAGATTCTTTGATAATAAGACTAAAACAACAGGCCATTACAAACAGACTTTTGAGTCGGAAGGAATTGAATTGTTATATGAGTGGAATGATATCAGGAATTTAAGGACTTAAGGCGTCTATAAATCAGTGATTTTTTTTGATTGGCATTTGTTAGTTAACTAGAAAAAAATCAATGATTTGTTAAAAACTGAGTTCATTAGTTGACATGTAATTTGAATGGTTGAATTAACACAAGGTTAATTAAGCTGAATTAACAGAAGATCAAATTCTGTCTGGAAGTCTTGGATGATATTTTTTATGATATTTGTAGACACTCAAGCTACCAGCAAGACTTATGATCTGCTTTTTTGCTTTTTTTCTATTGAATTTTACTTTTAGTTATAGAAATGACAAGAATAATAGTTACACCTACTAGATAGTTCTATGTCTTCACATGTATCTGGTTATCTTCAGTTTTATATTGGTCATTGTATTGAAAAACTATAGGCATACCTGGTTTGATTGCACTTCACTTTATTGTGCTTTTCACATGTTGCTTTTTTTTTTTTTTTTTTTTTGCAAATTGAAGGTTTGTGGTAACCTTTTATTAAGCAAGTCCATTGGAACCATTTTTCCAATAGCATTTGCATGTTTTGTGTCTCTATGTCAGATTTTGATAATTCTCACAAACTTCTCAAACTTTCAAAGTTTTTAATATTGCAAAATTTTAGTTATTATTTTATTTGTCATAGTGATCTGTGATCAGTGATTGCAACTCACTGAAACCTCAGATAACGGTTAGCCTTATTTTTAGCAAGAAAGTATTAAAAAAAATTTTTTTTATTAACGTTTATTTATTTTTGAGATAGAGAGAGACAGAGCATGAACGGGGGAGGGTCAGAGAGAGAGGGAGACACAGAATCCAAAACAGGCTCCAGGCTCTGAGCTGTCAGCACGGAGCCCGATGCGGGGCTCGAACTCACAGACTGTGAAATCATGATCTGAGCCAAAGTCGGACGCTCAACCGACTGAGCCACCCAGGCACGCCTAAAGTATTTTTTAATTAAGGTATTATGTTTGTCTTTTAGACATAATGTTATTGTACACTTAATAGAATATAATATAAACACAACTTTTATATGCATGGGGCAATCAAAAAATTGACTCATTTTATTGCAATATTTGCTTTATTACAATGATCTGGAACCAGACCCAAAATATCTCTGAGGTATGGTTGCATTTGTAGAAGAGCTTTGCTGCTGATGTCTTCCTCCAAAGAGGATTTTCTTTGCCTTTTTCTGGCACATGGGAGCACTACTCATTAATGTGCTTTAATCCAAATTCAGAGTCTGATATTTTCTGTGATGCAGAAATAACTTGAAGATAGGTAGCCATCCATTGTAGAACTGGCTTACTTCAGATATAACTTCTAGGGTCCAGCTGTTTGATGTCCAGTCTAAGTGGAAATTAGTTTGTCAAAATGTTCAGCCTTTGTGAGCCCTGGACTCTAGGTATTGTGTCTTCTCCTAAGTGTCATCAAAAGAGTAGCTCAACTGATTTCCTACCTCTTCAGGATTGGCAAGTACTTTATATGGTGAAGACAACCAGGGCCAGGACTTCCTCTTTGAATCTTACTTACAAAGTACTGTTTGTTCTT